TCTGGGACTTGAATCTAGTTATCCTATCTCTGAGTCCCTTGTCCCTTTGTCTACTGCTTCCCCTTTAAGAAAAAAACAAACAAACAAAAAACAACCATACAGACTTATTCTCTGTAAAAGATGTAAAAATTCTCTCACTGACAGTTTTTCTTTTTCCAAATGTCAAGCAAAGGTTATGGAAAAAAGAGACTAAGATTATAAAGTTTAAATCACAATGTGCCACGGGACTTTGACAATTAACAGCTCCCTATATGTTATTCCTATAGAGAAGATAGTCAGACGACCCTGGATGCAAAGTTTCTGGTATGATGTCGAAAAAGAAGAAACACAGCACATTTCTGTAATATAGGTGGCTCTATGTGTCTCCTTGGTAGGTCTGAATAAAACCAGTGTGTAAAAATATATGAAAGAATTTGAAAATTATCACTACTGTTAACTTCTGACCATCTCTCCCACGAAGTTCAAAGCCAAGAAGTACTCCATTCAGTCTGAGATTACAACATGAAGCTACTGGTACAATCCACAAAAATCAGATGTCATTGTCATTTGACAAAATGAGTGAAACAAAATTCTAGTGAATGATAAGTTCCAAGTAGCAGGAAAAAAATTTTAAATTATTATTTTGATAAAAAGAACATATGCTACACACCTGGTTGACCCATGAAACATCAGAGAGGTCTGACAAAGTCATCTTATTTGAAACATTAAGAGGCTTATTCCAAAGGTGACAGGCAAGATAATTTTTCCTTATAGTAGAATAAATGTAAAGGTCAGATGGGGGAACAACATTCTAAGAAATCAAAAAAAGTTTCACTAAAAGGGTAATCTATTGATCATTGACACTTGGAACGCACTTGCAGCCCCGGGTTCCTCCCAGGGCTATGCCTATCTGAGCGTCACTTGAAAAAAAAAAAGGGTAATCTATTTATAGAAGATAAATGGATGTATGGTAAAATTTACTGTAAGAGTGAGAGAAAATGTGTAAAACATCTTAAAAGACTGAGAACTGGAGAAAGCAGGGATAACTTTTCAAACAAATGTGAAAAAGGTATTATTGAGTTGTCAGAAAAGTCATGATGCATTTTTGCAACGAAAAACATAGACAAAATATGCCATGACTTTTCCGACAACCCAATAGTATTCACTTTTTCAAGGGACAGAGCTATGAATAAAGAATGAAATATATAGGGAAATATATTTTGATGTAATTTTAAGAAAAAAAATGCTAATGATGGTTACTATCTAATGGGTAACTTAGAGGAGGTATTAAATTCTCCATCCTTAGAGTTTTCTAGCAGGGGTGAGAGACTACTTCCTAGTTTTCTGTAGGATTCTGATGTTTCAAATGTGAGTTGGAATAAGATTATATCTAAGATGGAAACTTTTGGATTCTGAGATGTAAGAAATACTTAGGGGAAAAAAAATAGGACCCAATATATATGGTGTGATTCAGGTGGTGCCCAATACTGTAGTTATTTTAGTTGAAAAGCTTGAAAGAGTTACTACTAAGACTCTGAAAAAAAAAATGCTGTCACTGCAGGGCAGATGATGGGAAACCTCCTGAAGTTTAGTGATCTAGCCTGAAGAAATTAATGGAATTTCATTTTCAGTTTACTTACAGAACTATGAATGAATACTATATGGGGGAATTTCTCCTAGGAAATGAGAGAAGAGAATGGTGCAAATTGATTCAGAAAGAAAAATAGCTATTTCGAGAAAAAACACAGTGTGGTACACATGGTAAATCACAGAATCTAAATTATTTGTACTTCCTTTGAGGGAGAAGAATAGAAGAGGAGGAAGATAAAGAAGATATGAATGTAGTAGAATAGTAAAGGGAGGAGGAGGTGGGAAGAAATGACATGACAGCATTAATATTTTTGGGGTGAAGTAAGATAATTAGTTTTTTGGAGTGGCTTCCATCATATTTTTTTTCTTTAATCTCTCCCTCAGGGTCTTTTTTCTTTTCAAACATTTTAAAATGAATCACTTTCTTTGATTTCCAAATTCAGCCTGCAGTTGCCTTGGAAGTACTAATTATGTTTTCCTTACATAAGAGAGGCCTATTATTGTTGATGGTTCATTTTTTTTTAAACTATGCTTAAAAACTCAAAACAGTTAATAATTATGTCTCAGCTATTTTTGAAACCATTATAATGAATATCAAGAAAATGGTAATAAAAAATAGCATGATGCCTAAAAAATCCTTTGACAGAATTTAGACTTTGAGATTTTTTTTTTTAAGAATTTGAAAATAAAGCTAGAAATTTAAACAGAACCTGAAGAAATTGGCACACAACATCTAATATAATACAATAGCAACAGTTGAAGAAATACTGGAAGAGTTGCCTACAACCAAACTCTAGCAGAATGAGTCAAAGGTCAAATCGGTGACTATCTATGAAGTCATTATATTAGAATGAAACTGTCCTCTTTATTTCAATTTAGCACTATGTGGAGGATGCATATTTCAGTTTATTTTATTCCTAAGTCAATAAATAATAAAGTTTATATTCTTGAAATGAAGTTGTTAGGTCTTATACCCCCCAAAACAGTTTTCTGGTTTAGAGGACATAACTTTATAAGAATCAACTTTTATATGAAAGGCCAAAAACACACAAACCAACAGAAAACAAAAACAGCAAGCAAACAAAAAATAATTCAAAATGTCTCAAGAATGAAAATGTAGTAGAGCTATTATTTTTTAAATTTTTTTTAGTTCCAGGTGTACAAAATAATGTAATAGTTAGAGGTAGCTGCAATATTGCCATGGGAATATGAAAGACAGTTTGGGCAATAAAATCAATAATGTGGTAATGCTATTATACAGCATAGTGTCTACAGCTAACACTACTGTATTATGTACTTAAAATTTGCTAAGAGGATAGATCTTATGTTAAGTGTTCTTAGCATATACACACAAATAATAATAATAATAATAGTAATAACAATAATAGGGATGGGGGAAGCTTTGGGAGGTGATGGATATATTTATGGTTTCAATGGTGGTAATGGCTTCATGAATGTATACATTAAATATATGGGTGTTTTACAAGTCAGCCACACCTCAATAGAGTGGTTAAAAAAAAAGAAAACAAAACAGTAGTGACTTTAGGTAGCCAAAAAGGCAAAATCTCATAGTTGCAACTTTGACTGAACTCATTATGCCACATTTTTGCCCATCCAGTTTGACCATCCCTTTTCTTCTGACAGCGTTCCTTCCTGAGTAGTGGCTACTGCCTGGGGCATGGTAGGTGCTCAACATACTACATGTTCAATAAAGGAACTAATGAGTGACTGAAGGATGACTAAGGAAGGTATGAAAGAATGTCTGACAAATTCTAGAAAACAAATGCAAATAAAGACCATGCTTAGTGGTTACAAACATGAATGCAAGCCAGATGGCCTGGATTTGAAACCCAGTTCTCTCCATTGCTAACTACAAGTATATGACCTTGGCCAAGTTAGTGAATCTCTCTATAGCTCAGTTTCCGTTTGCTTACACAAAATAGACCATTGTGAGAAACATATGTTACATTACAGAAAAACACTTTTAAAAGTACATGGAAAATAGTAAATGCCAGATAAATGTTAGTTATTAAGACTATTATAAAGGCCTTATCCAGATAATTCCATACAAAGGTCATTGACAACTATGAAATTAGACAAATGGGACTAAAGACCAGCTGTCTACAAGCAGGGAAGGGGACACAATGAACTTTGAGGTTCAACCTACAAAACATGCACATGTCCTAGAAATTCCCATTCTGTTGAGACTCTATAGATTGATCCTTCCCAAACACCTCTCATGAAAGTGTTGGAGATAATGGCTCCTTGCAGAGATAGATGAAAGGCTCTATTTTATAAGGCCAGCCATATGACTAGATACCTTACGTGAGAGTTATCTTCTATTAAGTTTTAGTATTTGATTATTGTCCTGTAGATTTGGTATAAAAGAGTAATGGAGATGAAGCAGTTTTATTAAGGGCAATCCAAAATGTTTTGCTGCTTATAATTGCCTTATTTTGCTTTAGCTTATCAGATAACTCCATGTCTCAGAAAGGGTGGCCATGTTTTGGTGTCAATCATTTCCAGGGCTCCTGAAGCACGTGGGCAACTGGCAAATACAATCGCTGAAACCCTGTTTGACCGGAGAGGAGGAAAGGAGCCATCTACACATTTGACAGAACTCAGATTATGAATACTTGTTAGGGATTGTGTCTACACTGGTTGAACAAAGGACTACCAAGAGGAGAAGACATGTACGTATCAATAAGCCAGATAATGTTGCTCCCTTTGTTATGCAAAGCCCACCTCTCTAGCAGTCTGGCTTTAGCAGCCTCTCTGGCTAATAGGAGATGGATTACATTGGAAGGACAACATATCATCTCTGTGCCTTGTTTGTCTATGAAAATGGGTGAAAATTTAGATTTCTGTTTTTAAAATGTCAACAGATCAGATGCAATGGTACATGTACTTTTGAGATCTCTGACCGCAAAATCTGTTCTCCCTTCCTTTCTATTTTTGCCCATGGTCACTGCTATGGACTAAATTGTGGCCCCTCCCCACAAATTTATATGTTCAAGTTCTGACCCCAATATCACTGTATTTGGAGATAGGATATGTAGGAGGTAATTAAGGATATTAATTAAATGAGTTAAGGGTGGAGCAGTCATCAAATAGGACTGATGGCCTCATAAGAAGAGAGAGAGAGGTCTTTCTCTCTTAGCCACAAGCACAGTGGAAAGGCCATGTGAAGACACAGAAAGAAGACAGTTGCTTAAAAGCCAGGAAGCAAGACCTCTCCAGAAAATGAATGGGCCAGAACCTTGATCTTAAACTTCCCAGCATCCAGGACTGTGAGAAAATAATACCTCTGTTGTTTAAGCCACCTAGTCTATGGTATTTTGTTATGACAACCTGAATTGACTGAGGCAGTCATACTCTGCGAAACAAGAGCTTTATAATTGTACACATGATTTTGCTTGAGTCACACTCACCATTAGAAGTCTGTCTCCTACTTGCAACCTTCCATCCTTTTGTGCAGCTCCTCCATCTATAATTTTAGTTACATAAATGCTGTTGTCTCCAGGAATGTGCTGGTTCCCCACACCTCCTGCAATACTGAAGCCTAAACCTATGGGGGAGAAAGAGAAAAAGAAAAACCTTGTTTGGTTTTTTTTTTTTTTAAGAAAATGCAATTAGCCACAGTTCAACAGTCTAAGAAAATTAATCCTCAATTTCTTATAACACTAATAAATAACAGTAATGATTCTACTTCAATTGATTTTGTTCTTCTTTAAATATTTGAAGGCGTGGTGATTAATGCCCATGAGGTAAAGCTCTTGAAGTCAGTACCACGAGGACATTAGTTTTGTTCTTTTTCATGACTGTGCACCTAATTGTAGTTCCCTAGCTCATAGCTCTTAATGGCTGACTAGCCAGAGTGGAGGTCAGACAAAACGGTGTGGAAGGATTCTAGGTGAGCCAGGCAACACGCAGGTACGGTCCTGCTCACGTTGAGTCTGTGGGCTCATCTTCATTGTTGTTACTCTAGCATAGAGAACTGAAGTATTGCCAATCTTTTGGGTAGAGACCTAGATACTCTTGACATTTCAGGATGCAAAAGGACAGCTGTTAGAAAATTCCACAAATTCTGATATAAGAGCTATGAGGAAGACACTTTGGGCGTTCAAGTCATAATTTTAGCAAGAAGATAAGGAAAAGAAGTGAGATGCTTGCCCGCCCTGCTTTCTTCTCTGGCCATCTTTCATATTTTCACACTTCCTGGCACTTACTGTTATTAACTGATGTGAGGCTAGTCACACATAAAAAATGAGCTATCCCTGTACACATCCTAAAGAAGAAAGAAATAGACTATGTACTTTGACTTGATTATTTTTATAACAAACCACAGAATATCAGTTCATTTGAAATGGAAATTTTCTATTTTGAGAGATGAATTTTACTGTACTGTGGTTTACAAAACTTTTATTTATATAAAACTATGGAATGATAAGAATAGAATTATTAAAAATCATTATGAGGCCATTTTAATGAATGACTGTTAGACTCTTTAAAAGTATAATTTAAAAACTCACAAGTGAGATTAAATATACGTTCAGTATAATACTTGTAGCATATATTTTTATTGTATTTTAAAATAATTATGATAATCAACATGGAAATTGCTCAGAAAGATGGATATAAGTCAAATGTTTTTGTTACTAAAAACATAAAAAAATTTCTGTAACTTACTTGGCCTAAGAAATTTTTTTTTTTAAATCACACACCTAATCACCTAATTAAAAAACAAAACAAAATCACACACCTGTTTTATGATGGAACGATCATAAACGTTTTTGGCACTTTATCCAACAACAATGAAAAACACTTTTAAAAATACTCTATTTCACTATGTTTTTATTAAGTAAATAAATAGGGTTGGGCTATGTGCTCTTAAGATGGCATAAATGATTAGTTAATGGAAAAATAATGACATAGTAAATTATAAAGCAACACCTCTGAAATTACATTTGAAATGATTTTTTTTTAATTAACTATAATAGCTGTTAAAAAAATGGAAATGGATTTAAATTGATAAGGCAATTAAAATAAGTGTTATCTAGTTTCTACTAAAGTAGGTAATTATTCTTTTTTTAATATTTCAAAAATCATTTTCACACATGATTATTGTACTATGTACTATGTGCAAAATTCCATTTAAAAATCATTTACAAAAGGAAGTACAACACAGTATGTGTTGAGGGTTCTAGATGTATCACAAAAGCTAACAAAGGAGCAAGGTACAAAGTCAACCAAATCAGATGACTAGGCATCTTTACACAGTGTAATAACATGTTTTTGTAACTACCTGTGTTACATTGATACAAGATCCTCCCACTTTGTGCACTCCCAAACAGGTTTCACAAAACATAAATTTAACTTCACCAAATATTCTTATAATGCAGATGGCATTTTTGGTGCAAACTTTTTTCCAAACAGCATCTTATTTAACTCAGTGAAAGTCATATCACATATTACTTAATTTCTGCCCCAAATAATTTGATGCTGTTAGGTTTTACTTAAGTGGGAAAGAAAAACAAAAGTTTCATCCTTATTTTTTTTTCTTTGTGGGGTTTTGGTAATTATTCTTTATTGATGCTTTGGCTTCCATAGGTCTAAAGATGTATTCGTTTGCCTTCGATTAAAAAAAAAATTGTTTATCAAGCAAAAGATGACCAAGAGTAAATAAAATGCTCCCAATTGGTTTTTCTATGAAATTTAAAATACATATCAACTCATGTTTTCTAAAACTCTTACTTCATATTTATATATGATTACAGAGGAATTTAAGAAATATATTTACAAATGTTTCAGAGCCACATGCTAGGATCAATCTATTGTATTTATAATATTACAGAAGTTGGTCCAAACTGTGGAAAGAAAAGGTTAAAACAAATCCAAGGACTCTGATTTACATCTACTATGTCCACAGTAAATGCCACAGACAGTCTGAGTTACAGAAGAGCTAAGGAAACAAATTACCACTGTAAACAAGGTTAAGTCCAACAAAGCGAATAACTATGTAGTTGACATTTCAAGTTAAAGATTGTACCAAGATAATGAAATCACTGTGGATAATATCGACACAAATACATCACTAAAGAGAAAACAACTTTTTTTTTTCCCCTGAGATTAGGTTTAAGTAATTCTTTTTAACTCTGCTTAAGGTGAAGCAAAGTATTTTTAGTAAGATCCGGAGAATGTCTCTGAAGGTACAGAACTAAAAAAAAAAATCTACCTGATTTCTCTTACTTGGATGGAACATGAATACATTTAAAAATAATCAACATTTAATCAACAGTCAACCATATTCCAGCTATTTAATTCACCATACGTAAATGTGTAACTTATGTCTACATCCAGAATATAAGTTTATTTACAGGTGGTAATATCCATCTGTGTTTTATATATATATATAAGATTGAATCTGTCCTCATTCATTCATTCATTCATTCACTAACTCATTCATATAACTGTTCATTCAATGAACATCCCCTGAATGTATTATATTGTTCATTCAACAATACATGCTAAGCATTGTTGCCATTGACTTTGGTCAATATAATGTAAAGAAATGGCTTGACCAGAAACACTATAGAAATAATGATCCATGAGTGGGTTCATATGAGTGAGTGTGATTAAACCTAGCTGAAGCAATGTTCTAAATTCAGACGATTCCCGAGATTTTTGGAGGACTACTCTATGAAGACAAATGTGAGCTAGGACCCTGAGCTAAAAGAGTAAATCCTAATTATCAGTTTGGAGGCACTGGGTATCCTTTGCATACACTCTGTTAAAGCGGGGCAGGCTGTTTACATTACAGAGCCATTCTCTCCCCTCATTCATTAATATTCCCCTCCTTCATTCCACTCCAGATGCACTTGCAAGCTTGGTCATTCTAGAACACACCAGGCGCACTTTCACCTTAGGTCATCTGCTCTAGCTCTGCTCTTAGCATAGAATACACTTCCTTCAGAGCGTTGTTCAAATGTCAATTATTCTAGGAGACTGACCCTAACCTCCCTATTTAATACTGTCCCTAACCATACACCCCGTTTCCTTATCCTGCTTTACTTTTCATTTCCCTTAGCATTTGTTACCTTGTAATATACTATACAAATCATGTTTATATTTTATTTTATTTTTTTGTCTGTCTTGGTGAAAATATAAATCTCATGATTACAGGGATTTTTGTTGGTTTTATGCTATGCAATAGAACAAGGCTGGTTATATACAGTGGTACCTTGTTATTCATGGCTTTTCTTTCCATGGTTTCAATTATCCATGGTCAACCATCATCTGAGATAGTAAATGAAAAATTCCAGAAAGAAACAATTCATAAGTTTTAAAATGTGTACCGTTTTGAAATCTCGCACTGTCTCACTCCATCTGACTGGAACACAAACCACCCCTTGCTCCAGTGTATCCATACTGTATGTACAGTACATTAAGATATTAGAGAGACAGACCACATTCACACAACTTTTATTATAATATATTGTTATAATTGTTCTATTTTATTATTAGGTATTATTGTCAATTTTGTATTGTGCTGAATTTATAAATTAAACTTTATCATAAGTATGGATGTATACAAAAAACATAGTATATACAGGGTTCAGTACTATCCAGTTTCAGGCATCCACTGGGGGTTTTGGAATGTATCCCACGAGATAGGGGAGACTACTCTAGTGAACTCCTAAATATGTATTAAATTTAAAAATGAATGAACAAATATAAGAAGACAAGAAAAATCACATATCTCTGAGAAAGACTTCCCTTAAAGATGAAGCTGGTGGCTTTAATGAGTGAGGGATAGCTGAAGAAATGAGTACTGACAGTTGGAGTCGATAACTGTATTTGGCATTTACACTGCCTCAGGTGAACTCTGACTTGCAAAAGCACAGCTGGCTTTGCATTCTGATTCTTTCATCTACTAACTGTGTAAAACTCCTCATCTATAATGGGGGAATAAGTATATCTATGTTCTATTGTAATTGGCACATAATAGATGCTTGATAAATAAAAATTATCTGCTCTCAGGAGGCTCTCAAGTTGTTTTGTAAAACAGATACCTAAACAGCTTGACATAATTTAACTGGCTAGGATGATTTCTATAACGGTACTAGGGTTAAGGGAGCCCAGAGGGGAGCATGACTGACTTAGAGAAACAGGAGAGGAATCAACAAAAAGTTTAACTTTTGGGCTGCATCTTGAAGGTTAAGTTAGAATTGATAAGAGAGAATGCACGTTTCAAACCAACACAATCTCTGGATTCCAGACTGACTAAATGACTGAAGAGTCAGCTGCCCTGACAGGTTCCACAATGCTCATAAAATCCCAGCTCTACTGGGCTGGAAACTGAGACAGAGATGCCTGGCCGATACTCAAAATATATATTTATGATGAGATAAGCTAGAGTGGTCCCTAACAGGATAAATACAATAATACTCATAAAGATTCAAGTAAGGAACAATGAAAAAGCAAAAACACTGATTTGGGTGAAGTGACCAATTTAGATAAATGATCATTATTTTGAAAAGAAGTATCCATGATTAAAAAATAGCTCCG